TACCGCCAAAAAAAAGGTAAAAAAAACCCGGTAACCTGGTCGCCGAGTTCACGAAGTGAATCGGCTTGTTCTACAACGTCGTTGCCAAGCGACGAAAACCCAACCTCGACGGCAAACACCGGGGGGTGAGGCGGGGGGGTGGGAAATGGTTGCCGGCGTGAAAACCTCAATGGCAAGTACGCGCAAGTGCGACGCAGCGGAATTTCAGTATGAACAGCGCAGGTCGAGGGTTGAGCCATGCGGGTAGGTAGTCTTGAAGCGAGTAGTAGAAAGATTGTTGAACCCTGGATGCGTATTGGTTTGATACCGTTTGATACATCCGTGNGGGGGGGGGGCGGTGCTTCGGGAGGGGCGCGACAAAAAAAACAAAACACTGTTGTTCAGCTTGGTACGGAGGGGTGGGAGCACGGAAGGAGCAGCAGTGGGGTGTTTCTTATAAACGCTCCTCCAGCAACCTTATGTTTCTTATGTAATGGGGGTATCGCACGATCGTGTTTCTTTGTTGGGACTTTTCACGTGTTGTGGCCGAGATTAAGCTGTGTTTCCTAGTCCTTTTTTCTGATTTTTTTCGAAAAATGTTTACCCTTGTTTTCTTAACAGAATCTTGACTGCGGGCCCGTACTGTATGCAAGGTACTAGGCTTCCTTCGGGAGTTGGCTGGCATGACTCCTGGGGGCAACGCAAGAGGACATGGCCAATGTAATCACCCTTGCATCGATGCATCTCAACCTTCGCGGTGCCGATTTTTCTGTACAACCTGCAGAACATACGTCACGTGCGGGGTGACTTTGTTGGTTCTCACCGTCACTCTTCGCGTGTTCGTGCGCTTTTAAGCTAGCGGCGTCTTCGCCCCAGACCTACTATTGCAACCCGTTGCATTTGATCGCTTGCTCCTGTGCATTTGAACCGTGTAGTTCATTGGTCGATGGAAACGTGGGCGCGTTGCGCAGGAATCAAAATCTTCCGCGAAGGCGTGTTTGGTTCGGCGAGCCTCCCCGCGAAATGGAGCCAGTGGTGGCTGCCGATTGCACGTGCCAGGGAAGCCTGGCGGTCCCCGGGCAGGCACGGTAGTGTACCGACGAGCCTCCTGCGTGCCCCTGAGAAGGAGCCATTCGGAATCACCGCTGCCGCGTGCATCCGAACCCCTCGTGGTTCCTTGTTTCTGCCCGGTGGTAGGGCTCGCATGATCGTGAAATCGACCACGGATCCTTTTCTCTGGCCGGGACGTCAGGCTCCTTTTGTTATTTATTGTTCGTCTCGTTCGCAGCGTATTTCTGCAGGGTAGGAGCTCCAATCTGTAATCATAATCACACAGAAGGGTTTCTGTCCCTGACGCCTCTTTTCCCACTCCTCCTGCTGTTCTTGCGTTCGATTGTTCACGAGAAAAGAGAGAAAGCACTCTTCTCCTTCAAAGTGTACACACGAATTCTTCTGCAGTAGAAAATGTACGTGCAGGATGAAAAAACAACCGCAGAACATAGCCTATGCATAGGTGAGGTGCCACGACCTAAAATCATTCTCCGTCCAAGCCTGGGGCCACCGCGCCTGCCAGCTGTTCCCGCAACAAGTTTCGTTGTTGAAAGGCATGCACGGACTACAACAGCATACAGTAGTTGTATCATACGAGTACTACACATGCAGTAGTGCAATAGATCGCGCTATGCGCCAAATGGCCATTACATTTTCCTGGGGATTTTCGTTCGTTTGACTCTTGTGGCGGTGCGTTTTTTGTCACACCCGCCCTGCCCAACAACGGAGCAAAGGACCTGCCCGTTGCGCTCTTCAAAGCGCGCATAAAATGTGGCTATCGCTCCTTCAGAAGGAAATCGCCTACAAGATTGTAGATTTTAGAACACGCCACAACGCAAAATCAAGAGCACCCCGTGGATGATCTGGAACTCACACGAAGCAGAACGCAGAAAAACTTTTGACAGCGTTTCGAAGCTATTGCATACCAGGAAAAAAATAGGCCACGCACGAGGGCTTGCAGCCCGCTGAACACGCACATCTTTCCCTCTACTCGTCTATGTGGCACACCAGAAAAAAATCATATTCCATGGTGTCCTAGGTAGAGCCGCAAATCGTGAAAAACTGACAGCGAGAGACGGCTGGAGATACAGAATTGAGCCACTTATTTTTTTCCAACTTTCATAACAACTCACACCACTGGGTAGCTGGCACCTGCTGCTTTTCTGTCGGGAAAGCGCTGAGCCCAAAACCAAAGGGGTGGGTATATTGGCCCCTCATGCCACTCAACGCACACGATTCCATCAAGAGTCTCGGTGTTGTCACGTGTATGAATGTGTACGATTTCACAATTTTTTCACCCGCCACAAATAAGAGCAGTCTTGAACAAACAAATACCCATGAATGGTACACGCGACGACGAGGAGCACGCACCTCTTCTCTGTGCTGCTCCACAGCTCTTGCTGCAGCATCAGAACCTTTCTGTTGGGTTCGGCGCGATGTGTCCCGAGCCTTCAGGACGACATCTCCTGACCATTCGACAAGCGCGTCGCTCTCGTCCTCAACACCAACCAGTTTCTTGAACCCAGCCGTGACAAGGCTCGCGGTCAACCTCAGCGCGCCCCAAGCAAGCGGGATAAAAGGCTCAAGGCCTGACATGACCAGAGTGAGCAGAAGCTGGCGGGTGCACGGCAGAGGGAGATGGTGACCGTGAGATAACGGCGACAGGTGCGAACCGGGCAGGTGGGCGTGTGTCTGCCCCCCTCGCCCCCCCACCTGCTTTCTCCCTTCTCCCGCCCCTGTTGCGCTGAACGCAACAACAAATAATTCGGAAGATTCATCGAAGATTGGTTCGGGAACCTGATGTTTGACAGGATTTGTACAAGAATGTTCCCCGGGTGATGCCGCGCCTCCATGTACCCTAATATTTTTGTGAACAACAACAGATGGAACACCCAATGAGGATTGTGGTGCAATCGGGCCGCTTTTCTTGGGACTGTGGAATTACGGGGTAATTACGGGTAAATGTGTGGTATGGAACAGGGCTGGTGTAAATTGAGTGCAGCCAAGCGTACTACATGGAAAGAGAGTAGGTGGAAAAGAGCGGGAACTGTTGAAAGGATACTGCACTATCGGATGGTTGTGAGAGGCGGATCGGTATATTCATCGGGGAATAAGTTTGAGAGATTTGACAGGTCTTTTGCGAGGATTGGATAGAATCTTAGATTCTCGGAATGCAAGCAGGGACTGTCAGCAGGGTTGGAGGTTTAGAGTATGACACGTGTGGGGACGAAGAGACACCCACACGAGGTCAGTCTGACCCGCCAGAAGTCTTCTCCCTTGCTGTTTTGGCACGGTCAGCACTTCTAATGCACGACACTTTGATCGCAGCTCTACTGGACTTCAACGTTACCACGACAAGGCCCTTGGCATCAACATAAAAACGTACGCGGAGGGAAACGCACCCGATCTCCCGATAGGATCCAAATACATATATATCTGTACGTTGTCCTTCGATTTTTT